CCCCCCCGGTCCCAACACCGGGGGTCTCGGGGCTCAACCCGCCGGTGTCCCCCACCTCCCCGCGGAACTGAGGCGGGGGGTGTGGGGTGGCCAGAAGAGACACGCGTGGGCGTGGGGTGTGTGTGTCCCCCCAGCCCACCCGGTACGCGTTACCTGCCCTGGCTGGGGGCAGCCCCTGCAGCAGGGTGAGGAGAGCGGCGAGGAGCGCGGCGGGGACCGGGAGACCCTCCATGCCCGGCCCGGTGGGTGCCCGGTACCCGGTACCCGGTACCGGAGCTCGTAGCCCGCCCTGTCCGCTCCAGGCTCGTCGGGGCTGCGGGGAGGGGATGGGAGGGGAGGGGAGGACCGGAGGAGGACCGGCTCACCGGGAGCCCCCGCCTCCCGTCCGGCCCACGGGCGGGTCCCGGGACCGACACCGGCCCCGGGTGGTCCCGGCTGCGAGATCCCACCGACCCGAACGGGGCCAACGGGAGAGAGAGACTTCAGCCCCGCTGCGAGGTTTAGGGGGACAGGGCCCCCCAAACTGCTCCCAGCCCCACAGCAAGGTTTAGGGGTGCAGAATACCCCCCACACCCTGCTCCTAGCCCCACTGCGAGGTTTAGGAGTCCACGGCCTCCCATCCTGCTCCCAGCCCCACAGCAAGGATGGCGGGTTTTGGGGTGCAGAGCTCCCCACCCTGCTCCCAGCCCCACAGCAAGGATGGGAGGTTTTGGGGTGCAGAGCTCCCCATTCTGCTCCCAGCCCCACAGCAAGGATGGGAGGTTTTGGGGTGCAGAGCCCCCGTCCTGCTCCCAACCCCACAGTGAGGTTTAATGGTGCAGAGCCCCCCCCGCCCCACTCACAGCCCCACAGCAAGGATGGCAGGTTTAGGGGTACACAGCCCCATACTCCACTCCTAGCCCCACAGCAAGGACAGCAGGTTTTGGGGTGCACAGCCCTCCACCCTGCTTCCAGTCCCACAGCGAGGTTTAGGGGTGCAGAGGCCCCCCCCCAAGCCCCCCAGCAAAGATGGCAGGTTTTGGGGTGCATGGCCCCAAACCCCACTCCTAGCCCTACAGCAAGGACAGCGCATTTTGGGGTACAAAGCCCCCCACCCCACTCCCATCCCTACACCAAAGCTGGGGATTTTGGAGCACCCATCCCCACAGCAAGACTGGAGGGTTCGGGGGACCCCCCTACCCCACGGCACAGCTGCCGCTCGGCTGGGCTGGTCCCCGGGGCCCGGCTGGCCGGAGTCGCCCCATTGCCTCATCGCCTGAGTCACGGTCGCTCGGCTCCGCTCCCCCGGTTTTCCATTTCCCGGCAAATATTTACCGTTGTCTCTGCAGTAACAAGCCCCCGCGGATGCCCCCAGCCCCCCGAACCGAGCCTCTGCCCACTCCCACACGGGGCTCTGGTGGCAACACAGCCCCCTCCCCAACCCTCAGCTGCCTTGTCCCAGCTCCCCCACGGACCTCCATGACAGTTTGGGGGGCTGTGGGGTCCCCGACAGGCCCAGGGTGGGCACCTGGCTACGGGGCCGCAGCCACGCGTGCCATCGCCTGTCCCCATCCACGTCCCCGAGGGCTGCCGCGCGCCGTATCGGCGGGCAGGGGAGAGGGCCGTGGCCCAGCGGACCCCCGTGCCCTCCCCAGGGCAGCCCTGGGGAGGTTGATCCTGCTCCCACGTGACGCCGGGTCCTGATCTCATAAGAGACTTTGGACTGCAGGCTAGTGCAGCCATGGCCACCCTCGTGCCCCGCACCGTCCTCATCACCGGTTGCTCCTCCGGCATCGGCCTCGCCGTCGCCGTGAGGTTGGCGCAGGACCCCCAGCAACGCTTCCATGGTAAGAAGCGGGGAAGGGACCCTTCCACATTGTCCCGGGAGGGGACCCACAGCCCCACGTCTGCCCCAGCAAGGCGGGGATGGGAGCCCTCCAGGATGGGGCAGCAGGCTGGGGAGGGTGCAGCTTTTGGGGTCCCTGTCCATCCAGCCCCAGAGGCTTTCTCCCCACAGCCCCCAGGACTTGAAGTCCCATGGCCCCAAGCTCACAGCCCCCCCCCGCCCCGGAGAGCCGAGGTGTCCCTGTGCCCCCCACCCACCACCCTGCCAGGCGGAGGGGAGTTGGGGACGTGGGGCAGCCCCACGGGGACACAGATGGCACGAGCAGCGCACGGCTGCGAGCGCACATGCGTGTAACCGGGTCTGGCGGCACACTCCCACCCAGGTGGACGCACACGCATGCAGTGCCCTCACACCATCCTCGTTCCCATGCCACCCATTGTCATATACACACATGTGTGTCCCCACAACTCCGCTGCCCCACCACCAACCCCGCACCAGGGCTGGGGATTAGTCCCGAGGGGGAGATTAAAGGCTGTGTTACCAAAGCAGCTTAGGGAACATCATCCCGGCTTGACCCTCCGACCCCGGCTGGCATCTGGGGTCCCCCTGACCGGGGCTGGGGCTCCCCGCAGTCATCGCCACCATGCGGGACCTACGGAAGAAGGAGAAATTGGAGGAGGCGGCCGGACCAGCGCTGGGAAAGACGTTGAGCATCCAACGCCTGGATGTCTGCAGCGACAGCTCAGTGGCAGAGTGCATGGAGAACATCCCCGGGGGACGGGTGGATGTGCTGGGTGAGCAGGGTGGTGGGTGGGGGGCCACAAGGGGAGGCTGGAGGGGGTCTCTGAGCCCCCCACACTGTGCCACAGTGAATAACGCCGGCGTGGGGCACGTCGGTCCGGTGGAGAGTATCAGCGTGGAGGAGATGAAGCGCATCTTCGAGACCAACTTCTTTGGGGTCGTGAGGATGATCAAAGCCGTCCTCCCCGACATGAAGCGGCGACAGAGTGGTCACATCGTGGTCATCAGTAGTGTCATGGGGCTGCAGGGTGAGGTGTGGGGGGGTCCCGCTGTGTGGGGGTCTCACTCCAGGGGTTGTCTTGATGAGCTCAGCCCCTCTCTGCTCACAGGGATTGTCTTCAATGACGTCTACGCCGCCTCCAAGTTTGCCGTGGAGGGGTTCTGCGAGAGCCTGGCCGTGCAGCTGCTGCAGTTCAACGTCTTGTGAGTGTGATGGGGCGCAGGGAGCACCCCAGAGGGCCCAAGGGTGGCTCTGGACCCCCACCCTGAGCACCCGCCGTGGTCCCACAGCGTCTCCATGGTGGAACCGGGCCCCGTGAACACGGATTTTGAGTTGAAGCTGATGGAAGAGGTTTCACGCTCCGAGTTTCCCGGCACCGACCCGGCTACCGTGCGGTACTTCAAGGACGTATCCCTGCCGGCTTCCCACGAAATCTTTGCCACGCTGGGGCAGAGCCCTGCCGCCGTGGCTGAGGTGTGGGGCTGAGAGGATTTCTGGGGGGGGATGCTCTGGGCGCCGTTCCCAGGCCTATGCTAGCCCTGAGCCCCTCCTCTCCACTCACAGGCGATCGTGAATGTGATCAGAGCCAGGCGTCCGGCTTTCCGCACGCAAACCAACAGCCTCTACACGCCGTTGGTGTCCCCCGAGGGATCCGCATACTTGAGGGCCACCAACGGCGTGTAGAGGCTGTTGGTTTGCGTGCGGAAAGCCGGACGCCTGGCTCTGATCACATTCACGATCGCCTGTGAGTGGAGAGGAGGGGCTCAGGGCTAGCATAGGCCTGGGAACGGCGCCCAGAGCA